ACCCTTTGATTTTGATGAAGTAGAAATGATCTCTAGTTGTTCATTATTTAAACAAGAGTGGGACAAGTTAACACTCAACTCAGAAAGTGAGGCAACAAAGCTAGAGTTTCCAGACTCTTCTTTAGAATTAACTGAGTCCATGGAACACGTGGTTAATAAAAAAGAAGCCATTGGCCCCAAATCAGTTTTGGATATGCCAACCTGAAGTTATAAGTCACTGCTGTCCTGTGTGCAGGACGTATCAGAGTTTGCAATAAGCACCGGTGGCTTATGGATCTCAAGGACAGAGACCTAATGGTGTAGCTCCCAAATTTTTTTTCATTTGTTTGCTTATTTGTTTGTTCGTTTGTTTGGTACTAGGGATCAAACTCAGAACCTTGCGCTTACCAGGCAGGGGTTTATGCCACTGAGCTTGACCACAAATCCCTGCTGCTCATAAGAATCTGAAGTACACTTTTTTTTGCAAATATCCTACTGGAGTACTTGTTGGAATTGTCCTTCTGGTCTAAAGTGAACTGGATGGTTCAGGCACAGCAGTGTAGGAACACGGGGAAGTTCTATGAGCAGCACCATGTAGGTTACCTTTAAACACAAATAAGCAACTTGACAGAAACACAGCAGTAAAGCCAGCCTAAGAGCCCAGATGCCCAAGTCTCCGTCTGCATGGTTCTCACCCTTTCATATTCCTTAGTCTAACAGCAGTAGGTGTTCTACCTTCCACTTGGACTTTGTCTCAATTGATATGCATTCCCAAAATGAAAAATTACACAAGGAAACTCTCATCCTCTCTAGCAAGGGGAACAACCTTTATTTCCTGAATGAAAACAGGGAGTTTGCATTTACAGGTCGGGGCCTATATTTAAGGTCGCTGTAGTCCAAATATGGTTGCAATTACAGTTCATCAAATTCACAGACATCTCTGACAGTGCAGGATGCTGGAAGGGTGCTTCATGAAGAGAAAAAGAAATGAGAACTCAAGTGTTCTCTATGTGCATTATTCATAAATTTATTTTCTGAGTTTTGCACGAGAGTACCTTTGGCTACATTTGCAGGGAGGAATGATTCAAGTGTTTAAATTCCATAATCTCTTGTGTGAAAATTTCTTAAAAGATTGAGATATTCAAAATCAGTTCTTTTAAAACTAACATCTTGAACAATAAAATTTGTACACACAATACAAGGATTTCCTTCAGGAGGTCTGTGCCCACATATGCCACGCCAGCTCTGTGGCATAAGGTGCGTGTCTTCATTTTTTTGGGGAATGGCTTTACTTTTATTAGAGCAGGCTCTGAAATCTGGCCTCAGCACACTACATACTGCCTCAACGTTTCATCATCAAGATTCATAAATTACAGAGCACTGAGATAAAAAATGCATATCTCAGAATTACTCCAGCCTTTTCTATGCCCTCAAGAGATTAATACTAAATGCATCGGATCTAAGAGCAAGGAGGATGAATCAGCTACAGCCACTGTCAAGGGCTGGGGAGCTTAATGTAGATAATTCTCCATTCTGGTGCTTTGAACTTTTGTTAATGGTTATTATAGATGAAAGAGAATGTGACTTAACACATTCCCCAAAGATTTGCATATTAAATTGCAAAGCCAGCAGGTAGAAATCTGGAATGGGGCAAATGAGTACATCCTCAGCCTCCTCTCACTTTCCAAGGGGAATTTTGCCATCTGTGTTGGTTTTACATTTGAATCTGTCCCCTTAAAACTTCCCAATGCAGAGTAGCTGGGGCTCCATCACAACAACGCATTTCCTCTGAAGTGAAATTCCTTTTCCTGCTTTCAGCTGCCTCCGGTAGAGATTTTTTAAATGATAAACTAAAGAAAAGTATATTACACCAACATCTATGCATTTCTTCTGTTGATCATACTGTGTTTAGCCAGACTAAAAAGTGGCTGTTCTGTATAAAGTCCTAGTAATTCATAGTGATGGTGGACAGAGGAGTCTTATTTTAGGCTCGGGTTGTGGAGACAATAAGAAATAACAAGGAAGTATGACCATAGCAATAGGTGCTGAGGAAAGTAACCAAAAAGGACTACAAGGGAGTGTGTAGGTGGAGTCTGCTTTCAATAAGTGGGTCAAGGAATGGCCTCACTTAGAGAGGAATCTGAACAATGTTACAGGAGTGACCTCTGTGGGTGTGGGGGAATGGGGGATTCAGGGGTGGGGGGAGCAACAGGAAAGGATCTAAGGGTAAGAAGATGTTCGGTATTGTTAGAAAATATCAAAGATCTCCAGGAACATGGAACAGAGAAAAATGGGATTGCAGAAACTGGGAAATGCGGTTCAACAGGCAGCAGGAAATCACTCCTGTGCTCCTGCTGGCCATAGTAAGGATTCTACTGGAGGATTTGAGATGAAGGGCCTCTTCATGTGAGATAGACTGCACAGCACCAAGAACGGATGGGCCAGTGGTTTGGTACTGGTGAGGGCAGCAACAGTTGTGGGAAGTGCGTACAGCCAGCACCAAGTGCTAATGCACTAAACGTGAAGAGTGCTTACAGCCTTCTCTTCTCTTTCTTCTCATACCTATGTGTAGATCCACTAGTAAAGCATGACTTATTCTTTAATTTTTCTACCTTCAGAAAGGTAAGCACAGAGAATTACATAGACCTAGATATTACTGCATATATTTGGAACTCTACCTAAACAAGGAAGGACTCAAGGGTATTGGTGACAACACGCAATGACGAAAGAGTACAAGGGTCTGTAGTGCATGGGAGAGTAGCAGAGACCAGCTGAGGTGTGACTGCAATTTCTGGCTACCTAAGCTCAGTATTTGTCCAATAGATGAGCCAAAAATCCCCCTCTGGCATTGGGAATTGCTTTGAAGGTGAGGCTTCTCAAGCAAAAAGTGAGCAATCCATTCCTATAGAGCTGTTTGCTATCTGGTTGTTAGGTTGGCTACACATGGGGTAACTGGCACGTAATACATCCGGCCTCAAGTAATTGGACACCAGGAGTCCAGAGCAAGACAGGAATGGAGAGCAGAGCTCACGACTGTCTACAGCGCTTCACTGGCTTCATGCATGATTGCTCCTAAGTAATCGATTTGCAATTCAACAACTCCTTCCTGAATACAAAAAGAAAGAGAGAAAGCCTTTTTGAATAGTAGAGATATCTAGAATATGGAAGATAAGTGGCGGGCAAAATACAAACTCATCAAGAAGTCTAGTTGGGTGCTCCCACAAGGAGAAGAAAGGCTGGAAGCCACTTGGAAGGACCTGCTTCAGGGGCCCCAGAGAAGCAAGAGGCATGGAAGCTGCTGTCCTTCGTTCCTTCTCCATGTGTCTCAAAGACTTGTTTTACATTCCTTCTTCCCTTTCATATGTGCAGGCAGGCCAATAATGCCCAGCATACTCATCGTTTCTTTAATTTGAGAAGTAAACTAACTTCCCTACAGTTTTTTTTTCCTGGTAGAAACAGAGGTGGCAAATGGGCCCTTTATAAGTGTTGTAAAGTCCCTGCTTCTAGGAAACTTGATGGAAAAGAAAGCCTGTTCACTCCCCTTCTCTGGACAAATTTCTGTGCTAACGGATTACTAGCTTCACGTGAAATCTGAACTGACAAGGGGCCCAGCTCCACTGAATTGTCACCCAATGAGAATTCAAGAATCTTCTTCACATACAAGACCTAACTTTGAAATGCTGTAATATAAAAATAAGCACAGATCCTCCATAAATAATAGAGGAGTATTTGGAAATAATGAGGGCGTTGGGAAGCAGTGACAATGTACTTTTGCACATCTCCCTGAAAAGGAGAAAACACAGAGACTAAGAATTCACAAGGATCATTAAAAACATTGCCAGGCAGAATAAAAGATTTGACTAATCTGTGATGCAAACAGCAAGTAAACCTTGTATTTACTTGGATGTTCTCCTCCGGAATGATGTAGTATCTTAACCCATAATTACTACTATACTGACAGAGTCTCACTACTACTAAAAGAAATTTCAAGTCGGAATTAAATTCACTCGTCCACTTTAGAGAAATGCACTAAAGAGTGAAACTTCCTTCTCTTCCACCAATCATATGTTGTGCTAGTTCATTATTATTCCTTGCTGGGACAAAATACCCAACACCCAAAATTAAATAAGGAAAGGTTTACTATTTATCTCACAGCCTGTGGTGGTTTTAGTCCATACTTGGCTGGCTCCAGGGCAGGGTGGCACACGGCAGAGGGCAGCAGTTGGTGGATGGTGAAAAACAGCAAAAGCACCAAGAACAAAAAGAGAGGACTAGAGAGAGCAAGCTTCTTTCTTTCCCTTCTATTGTGTGCAAGCTGCCCACTCCAGGACGGGTGTAGCACCGACACCCATAATCCCAGCAGTGGACCATGAGTCAATCACGAACTCTAGAAGCCCACCCCATGAAGGCAGGAGGCTTTGGGGGGACATCTAGACACAAACCATAACATGTGGCCTCTGTCCTCCTGGCTTCTTTCTCCACATTTCCCAAGCCTTGAATGTGTGTCCATTCTCCGTCAGACAGTATGTTGGACACAGTGAGACCCACTATCAAGCCTCAAGGAACTTCATTTCTGACAGTACCGTTTGCTATTCACATAGAAAATTTGCATAAATTTACATAGAACAGTATTTAGCTTTGCCTTTGCAATACTGGGAATTGAACCCAGGGCCTCCCACATGGTAGGCAAATGCACTACCTCTGACCTACATGGCCAATCTTTTTTTAAACTTTATTTTGAGACTGTCTTGTTAAGTCACCCAATCTGGGCTCAAATTTGTGATCCTCCTGCCTCAGCGTAGCAACAGGGTAAATTCTATATCCGTGAAGGAAAGACAACAACAAAAATTAGAAAACCACAAGAGTAGTTATTCATTTATCAATTATTTTCAACAATTAGTAGAGTTTATTTTACTTTGTCCACAGAAAAAGCATTATCATCAGGTTTGGTAAATAACTGAGACAACAAATTCTACTTACTGCCTCATGGATTTCTCCAGGCTACAGCAGTGTAGACTTACCTTATGGTAACACCTAAAATATGCAGCACGTTCATCAGAAAATTTCTCCAATCTTTTTGGACCCTTGCTTGAAGCTTTCTTGAATACTAACCAGCATCGTTGATAAATCTGGAAAGAAACACAAAGACTAAGCTAGGCAACTCCACTGACTCGGCTGTTACTGAGATTTGCATTTAAATGTTTCCTTTTTTGAACTCTTCACCTGTAAAATATTCTCAAGCCAGAAACTGGATGTTTCTTTATGAAAATAAAATTTAAAAAACAAGTTGTTTCACCATAGGCAAAGTGTACAATGCACACAGTTATTAGAACCAGAAGAAAATAAGTGTCTGAAGGCAAAAAAATTTTTTACATATTTTAGTAACAATTATCACTAGGCATATTTGAGAAAATGTGCCAGAGATTAAAAGAAAAAAATCAAAAATCACTACAAATAAATAGTCATTCATGACACACGATCTAATTTCAAATGCAATCACATCTGAAAATCACGGAGGATAATATGCTAAGAGCACACCGCCACACTGAGGAGCATGTGTCTTAGAATGAGACACCCATGTGTTGTTCATCAAAACGGATGCTGAGGAGTTGAGCCAAACGCTAGATCAGTGAATGACTGGCTTGTCAACACCATCCGGAGCCTTGCTTAGAAAATTCGAACCAGAGACCCTCAGGTGAGTTCCTGAAGAGAGGTCAACACCAGTGGTTATACTTGGAAATTATGGTCATGTTGACTCATCCACATGATAGGTAAATAGTGGGAACTGCAGTAACTAATTAGATCACTTCTCCTCTAAGTAGAAGAGCTATTTTAATTGTGTGTAATATTTCAGCTCACATGTTTGAGATCTGGCCCTTTTTCTAAGTTCCTTGGAAATCACCCGCATCCCCAGGAACCTTCCAGTGCCAGCACCAGTATAGCTTGTAACTGAGCTAGCTTGAATCGGGGTCTGACAGTAGTTGCCTAAACCGCCCTATGGGACTAGCCAATACTAAATTAATCTATTAAAATATTGATCACACCAAAGAGTAAAACTGTGAAGATCTAATGATCATATGAAAAAGGAAGTTCTCCAAAACCCAAATCAAGTGAGATATAAGTCTAAAAAGTGGGGCCAGGGAGATAGCTCAACAGATAAGCGCTTGCCTGTCAAACACAAGGGCCTGAGTTCAATCCCTAGTTTTGCAAAAAAAAGAAAAAGAAAAAAGTCGAAAAAGTAACACGAAATTAAATTACAGATAACATTCACTGATGAGAAAGCTCAGTGGCATTATTACCCTGTGGTGATCTTTAGAGGCCACTGGACACAGCTAACCTTAAAAGAATGGGAATTTTGCTTAAATCAAAGAAGCAAAGTACAGCTAACAAATAAGAAATTTCCTTATTAAAGACAGATAGGTGAGCATTGCTCAGTCATGATTATCTTTATTCTTAAATTACCTTCAAATTACACCTAAGTGTAATTTTATATAGTCAATCCATAAATACAGTCTATGTGCTATCAAGCTTAAGATTCTCCAAGAAAAAACAAAATAAAGCTTACATAAAATATATGGTCATTCAAACCCCAACTGATTTAAAATATATCTTGCAGTTCTACGAATACCCGACAGATGGGCAAGGGATGCAGGTTGCTGCTACTCGTTCACAGGGTTTGATATATTCTACTTTACTTTACTGTTCTAGTAAATTATCGGTTGTCTTCTTTGGAGTCGTCCAAAGAACATAAATTGATTCTTGCGGCAGTTTACTTCTGAATGAAAAGGTTAGGTACGTGTCACACCCCAATGAATGCATACTGCAATGGTAGCAGGATTATTTATAGTAATGAGAATTGGCAACTAGTCTATCTTAACTTCATTGGGTTAAGACAGGCTCGATACATTAGTAATGCTAGATACCGGGTATGAGTGTGTAAGTCATGAAGGCATGACCAGGTTAGTAAAGCAATCTCCTGGGTGTCTGGGTCAATCATGAAAGTGTACTTTAGCCACTATATAGGGTCCCTAGCCCAACCCTCTCCAGCGCTCCTCCCCTACCCTGCTTCCTGGTCACCGCCAAGGAAGCAGCTTCACTCTGCCACGCCTTTCCTGCTCTATGTTTTTGCCTTAGAGCCTGAAGAATCTCTTGAGACAATACGCTAAATTAAACCTTTCCTCCTTTCGGTTTTGGGTGTAGGGCATTGTGTTTCACCAACAGGAGAGCTGACTAATACAGAATGACAAAGTAAATTATAACACTTCTAAAATACGTAATTAATATATGTTATTCATCTATAGCATAAAATTGGTAGCTGTACATAACAGTAAAGGTGGTACACACACACACAAATATAAAAGTGTATATTGCAACCCCATAGAGTAAGTCATATTAAAACTATAAAAAAATAAATAAAACTATAGTAACATAGATAGTACACACAATGTTTACATAGTTATCTCGCAACAGGATAACATAAGTAGCTCATGTGAAATGGGTTTCAAAAGGAATTTCTAATGACACAGGAAAGGGTTCATAGTATGTTATAGAGGAAGACAATATAAAACAGGGCCAGCAAGATATCTCAGTGGACTAAAGCTCCTACTTAGGCAAGCACAGGAACCGCGGTTCAATCCCCTGCACCACATGCCGCACCAGGCCTGCTCTAGGGTGTGCTGAGCCAGCCAGAGCCAGGGCATAATGGTGCATGCCTGTAATCCCAGAGCTGGGGAGGCTGAAAGCAGGAGGATCACCACAAGTCCGAGCTGCATAGTGAGACCCTGTAACAACTAAATACATTTTTTTAAAAAACTTTGCTTACATTATGATTACTATTATATAGAAAATGCATGAGAAAAATAAAGAAAACATACCAAACTGTTACATGGTTTCCCTGGATTATGAGAATAAATTTGGGGTTTTGTTTGGTAGTTGTTCTGCTTACCAAAAGTTAATCCTGTAATTAAACCAAAGAGAACTGTTATTTCTTAAATAGCCAATGGTATTAGTGTAACTAAAGTCATTTGCACAAGTTTTTATCTTTCCTAATTATTGAATCCATCCAGGGATATAAAACATGAAAATGAAGGGAGAAAGCAGCTCAGTGGAGAAAGACCGATTTCTTCCACAAATGGTTTTACACCAACTGGACTTCCATAGGCAGAAAAGAAAAGAAAAACAACTCACTGGGATTAAAAGATCTGTGTTATACAAAAATCAAAACCTTCTTGAATACAAAATAGAACTGTAACAGTTCTAGGAAAAATTGTTTAGGACTACAGTCTGGAAAAGGAGTTCCTGATGTCAAAGCAGAATCCATACGAGAAGATGAGAAACTGCTTCTCAGCAAAGCCAAACACTCCTGCTAAGAGGACGAAAAGACAAACAGAGTAGGAGAAAATATTTGAAACCCCCATCTCTCAGCGAGGGCTAGTATATAAAACACATGATTCTCAAATACTAAGTTAAAAATTCTTGCTTATAAGAGGAATTATGAATACGCCAATGAGAACATTCAGTCACAAGTCACATGAAGAGGGGTTCAACTCCATCCCTGACAAGAAAGCACGCATGCAACCTGACAAGAAAGCACGCATGCAACTACCATGGAATACCACTGCACACCAATCAAACTGGCTGAAATAATAAATGCAACAATAGATGGCATCGCCATCAAATGCTAGCAGAGTTGTGGGGAAACTCAGTCGCACACTGCTGGTGGAAGTGTAAACCATTACAGCCACTTTGAAAGGTAAGTGGCATTTTCTTAAAAACAAACAATGCAACCAGGATACAACTAGCAGATGCACACTAGGAACTTTATCACATGGAAATTCAAACTTACACACACACACACACACACACACACACACACACACACAGTCTCTCTGTATGAATGTTCACAGTGGCTTAATTCAGAACAGCCAAGTTAAACACTATTCACAGGACCTTCAGGAAGTGAATGATTAGGTGAACTTTATTACACCCTATCGTGGAATACTACCTAGCTATAAAAATAATGAGCTATTAATATTTGCAGTAAATTTAACAAATCTCTAGAGAATTATGCTAAGTGAAAAGAAATGTCAAGCCCAATGGATTTTACAGTACCAGGGGTCCATCCCAGAGCTTTGGGCGTGATAGAAAAGCACTATCATACACTACCTACCACTCTTGCTTTTGCTTTTTTCTTTTCAGTACCAGGGATTGAACTTGGGACCTTGCTCTTGCCAGGCAGGTGCTTATGCTGCTGAGCCATCTCCCCAGCGCCCTATCTACCAGTTTTGATGAGAAAAAATGATAAAAATGGGACCCGGATGAGTAGCTACTAGAGAAAGGGATGAGTAGGTGAAGGATAGTGTGTGTGCTCACAAAACATCAACACAAAGAATCCTCACCGTGATAAAATGCTGTGCCCCTGCACAGTATTGATGAGAATATTTCATTTATGGTGTCATACTGTATTGGGGGAAGACATTAAAACCAGCAACACTAGAAAAGGTCACAGGAGGATCTTTGTGAAATATTCCCTACAACTGAACAAAAATTGACATTTACCTCAAAATACATCTCATTCAAAATGCAGAGATACAAAAAGAGTTAAACAACTGCTTAACAGTGCAATTACAGCTACTGCCTAATCCAGTAATATTATTCTGCAGTCTCTGTCTGTCTGCCTCCTACCCAAACATCACACTCTAACTAACCACAAGACTAAGCTACTTTAGTACAAGCTGCTTTAGGAAGCCACCATCCTCTCCGGGTGGAGGTTCAGCATCCTCGATGCTGTGGTTGGCAGACTCTGACCACACTCCACTCATGTCTGAACAATGGAGAGTACATCTGGCTCCCTGGGCACCATGCTACCAGCATGGACTGCAATTACAGTGGGGGCAGCTGTCACTCCACTCGTTCATACAAAAGGTATAGGGAGTGGGCATCTGGCCTACCGTGCTCTAACTGCAGCCTCTTGTGTTCTAAATGCCCATGAGAAAGTGCTCAGGAGCAGAACACTCTAAAGGCAGGAAAAAAAAAAAAAAGTACATTCCAAAGAAGATACTTTCACCAAGAAAGATATTTTAACTTTCCCAAATGATGCCTCAGTTTTCAGCTCCAATTTTAATGAGTA